CCAAAAGGATTTTAGTATCTCATACACATTCTAACATCATGAGATGAGATGCTAAAACACCTTGGGCTGACATTCCAAAAATACATAATGAATTGCTAAAACACCTTGGACACACACATTCCAACAACACATAATAATGAATGGTTAAAACACCTTGGACACACATTCCAAATCACATGATGAGCTTTTAAAATACTTTAGGCACACATTCCAACAACACATGATGAGCTTTTAAAATACTTTAGGCACACATTCCAACAACACATGATGAGCTTTTAAAATACTTTAGGCACACATTCCAACAACACATGATGAGCTTTTAAAATACTTTAGGCACACATTCCAACATCATCTGAGGAAATATTAAAATACATTGGCCATGCATCCCAAAATAATGAGATGAAATGTTAAAATACCTCAAGTACATCTTCCAATATCATGATATAAGATGTTAAAACACATCAAGCACACATTCCAACATCGTGATGTGAGGTGCTAAAACACCTCTTGCATAAACTACAACATCATATGAGAAACACAAATACAACTTATAATTTGGTTACGTTTTATTTGACTTCTCCCACACACACACTTAATAACAACAAAAGTTTTACAGATGTTATTGAAAAAGCTTTACCTCTGAAAACCTTCTGTTACTTTTTAAATAATGAAAAGAAAATACAATCTGTAATATCATATTTCACTCAGAAAAATATAAGAAACATCAGGTTAAGCATGGTGTTTAAAAAACATGTGATATTAATGATCAATATCAATTTCACAAAAATGTTTAGATCATACTGATGTGAATGTAATATCTTAAGTAAATAAATTAAAATAGAATGACTAAGTTTCTTTTGAATCAGTAATACACAGTGATTGACAAAACAGTCAGTGGTCAAGCTAATCATTAAGTATAGACTTGCTAAAGAACTTAAGAATCTAATTAAGACTGATCTATAAAACTTATTTATTCAGTCTATATATATGCACAACACACAAGGTCAAAACAAAAGAACCTTTCATGATTTGTAAAATGAAATTGAAAAACCTTTTCAATTTTGAATTTTGAGCTGAATAAACAAAGATGCAAATTTCCAGCAAAAGTTTAGTTATATTAAAAAACTTTTAAATGTTTTCATAAAATCCCTCAATTGTTTTCAACGTTCAATGTTACAGAATTTTACATTTTTAGAAATATAAAATTAATTGCAAATAGGTACTTATGTCGGAAATACAAAAAGCCTTTCCTTGTTTAGTTGTTCTCATGTTGCCAATGACCATGTGAATTTAGGTTCTATATATCCATGACACAATGGTGAGCCTACTTCAACTTACACATGGTACTTCACTCTCCTACCTTCCATGTGACTTTTTGAACATGTGTACATGGGCACTGATTTCCCTCCAAAAGCCAAATTTCTTTGTAATCATGATGATATAGCTATTATTCCCAGTTGTGGGGAGGTGAATGGTAATGTATTTCAGAGGTAAATACTTGTTTGAAAATCAATATAATTTAAAAAAATGTAAAAATTCAAATAATATTAACTTATCTCTTGAATATGAAAAGCCAGAATATTCGCAATGAAATGGAAGAGGGAGCCAGAGCATGTCATAAAGATCACTGGTTCTCCAAAAGTAATGCTGTTGGGCAGGAAGGTAATAACCTGAACCAGAAGAAATATCAATGGACTGGATTCATGGAAGAATGAAGCAAACGAGGACACTCAGAAAGACATTCTTCTCAACATGATACCCTCTC